CGTCTCTACTAAAAATACAAAAAAAATTAGTCGGGCACGGTGGCGGGCGCCTGTAGTCCCATCTACTCGGGAAGCTGAGGCAGGAGAATGGTGTGAACCTGGGAGGCGGAGCTTACCGTGAGCCGAGATTGCGCCACGGCACTCCAGCCTGGGTCACAGAGCAAGACTCCGTCTCCAAAAAAAAAAAAAAACCAAAAAAACTTGACCACTGAGTTAACCAAAACGTTACCAGATCTCAGTTCTTAGCTATTCTGTTGTGAAGAAGTGAGAGGTTTACTACCATTAACAAAGCTGCAGATGTACACTGCTACCGGCAGAACTATCCCTAGAGAGTGGCAAAACTTTATACTTCCCAAGGGAACATATCTGTGGGTCATGCTTTGCTTTGGACTGGAGACAGTAGTAACTCTAGGAGGTGAACACAGAACGTTCTACATGTTTAGAAATAGAAAAAGAACAGCCCTTAACAATTATTCCCACACTCTCACCCTCATTGCCTCTTCATTCTATAGATGCTCTCAAGTTTCTTGTGACTTTTGTCCCAAGATGTTGTGACATGGCATCTGACTTCCTATTGATCAGCAGGGTTAAAATCCTCCTGGGTTGTTCTGTCCACAATGTTCTGTGAATTGCTATATTTAAACCAGCTTTTTTTTCTTTTTTTTTTTTTTGAGATGGAGTCTTGCTCTGTTGCCCAGGCTGGAGTGCAGTGGCACACTGTACAGTGGCAAATGAAGACATATTTATCCGATCCTCTGATATAAAACCCCCTATTAATAAATACCTTTCTTAAAATTTCTATATAAAAGTATACTTATAATAGGAATGTCTCCTTTAACTTGTCTATAATTGAATGGGAAATAGAGGAGGCAGGGAGGTTCAAAAAACAAAATAAATGGAAAGGGAAATTGAAGGCATCCAGAGACTTTTTTTTTTTTTTGAGACTGAGTCTCACTCTGTCACCCAGGCTGGAGTGCAATGGTGTGATCTCAGCTCACTGCAACCTCCACCTCCCAGGTTCAAGTGATTCTCCTGCCTCAGCCTCCCAAGTAGCTGGGATGACAGGCACCTGCCACCACGCCTGGCTAATTTTTGTATATTTAGTAGAGACGGGATTTCACCATGTTGGCCAGGCTGGTCTCAAACTCTTGACCTCAGGTAATCCACCCGCCTCGGCCTCCCAAAGTGCTGAGATTGTAGGCTGAGCCACCACGCCCTGCCTAAACCAACTTTTGTGACATGGCTTTTTAAGGTAATAGCATGAACCACTTCATTCCTCTGCCAGGGTCTGATTCAACCCTTCAAAAACATGGGTGGACCCTATATAATGTGATTTGATTCCACATTGGATCCCCACAGAGCTAGTCTTGGCTTTTCACTTGGAACATGCCCAATGCTGATACAAAGTAAAGACTCACTATAGATCTTATTGCTATCCATGGTACATTATAAAACTTGTCTAAATATTTAAAGGTTTAAAACAAGCCTGAGCAGTGGGTGTCAAGAGTATAAGTCAGGTATATTTCATAGTAAAATTAAAATGCCATTAAAATTTTGTTCTTGTGGGGCTGGGTGTGGTGGCTCATGTCTGTAATCCCAGCACTTTAGGAGGCTAAGGCAGGCAGATCACCTCAAGTCAGGAGTTCAAGACCAGCCTACCCAACGTGGTGAAACCCCCGTCTCTACAAAAAATACAAAAATAAGCCAGGTGTTGGTGGTGGTGCCTCCCAGCTCCTCGGGAGGCTGAGGCAGGAGAATTGCTTGAACCTGGGAGGTGGCGGTTGCAGTGGGCCAAGATCACGCCATTGCACTCCGGCCTGGGTGTCAACAGCAAAACTCCATCTTAAATAAATAAATAAATAAATAAATATTGTTCCTGCTTTGTAAATGCTGCTTTCATTTTTTTCATTTTGGAGTGGGGAGCCTTGCCGATAGTCAGTGACTTGTATATTTGTTTACAGGCATTTGATAGGCTGCTCTTCATCTTGCATGAAAAGATAAAGACCTAGCCAGTCTAATCCTACTGGGATTCATATCAGTGGCCTCAGGGGGGTTGAGATGCTTCAAAGCTGCTGTTTAAAGGGCAAAACTAAGTATCTTACTTGGATAATACTAAAGTATGTCCTTTCTGGCTTTATTAGAATCTGAATTGTAAACATTTGGTACCGTGGGTTAAAGTTCCGCTTTAAAATTAATTTCTGAGTATGTGAGATATGCCTTTTCTTTGTGACATTTGCAGTGCAGTGAATTCAGGCTGTTTTTAAAAGGTCAAGTTTTTAAAAGGCAGGGGCATTAGTGCCAGGGCTGCTTGAAGATGAACAGCTATGGAGAAATCCTACAGTGAAAGAGGTTGGTTTTTTGTTTGTTTGTTTTGAGGTGTCATTCTAGGATATATATATATATATCCTAGTTGTTGGCATAACATTAAAATTAGTGACACAATACAGGTTTCTTGTATAGGTTTTGAGAAACTAGCAGTCCTCAACAGACGAAGCAATGTAGTTTTTGCTAATGGCACTTGCTGTGACTCATGATAGGGACCTACTGTTGATGAGCATTCCAACAAAAATAGCTTTAACTTCACCATTTATTAACATGGCTACCTTGTTAAAACATTTTCTGAAACCAAAAGCTAGGGTGATCATTCATAGCATTGTCTTATTAAAAGACTATGTCATACTGTATCATAGAAAAAAACATTCTGGGTAGAATTTGCTTCCTGGTCTATTAGGTTATCTGTTCTCCCCTCTAACTTAAGGTAATGTCTGAAAACAGCACCATTCAGGTATTGCTTAGGTAACTAAACCAGTGAAACCAGTGAAACTGCCTTTATACTGTTACCAAGAACAGCAGACTCCCATTACAAAAAAAAAATCTCTTATTACCCTACTCAAATTATTCATCTTTAAAAAGGCATAGGGCTTTTTTTTCTCTTGAAAATTTTTGGATTAATTTGAAGATCATTTCAAAATGATCCAGGATAACAATCTATTTTCCCTTTTCCTAAATTATTTCTCAAAACAATGTAATTTCTGTGTGTGATGACCTAACAGTCACTAACGACCTCAGTGCACTTTTTGGTTAGATACTCCACACCCAATAGCTAAAATCAACTGCTTTTGGGATTCTAAAGTTACAGGGTCTGTATGAAAATACCAGACACATTAATAAATTAAATTTTGGTGGCCCATTCATGATATGGCTCTTGTATCTCCAGATTCTGAGACTGAAAATGTAACTTGATCAAGCTATTAAATTACTGTAATAAAACAATTACTCCCTTAGAATTTTAATTTAGAATTTGTCTACTTCCAAAAAGGGTTTAAAGCAGTTACTATCAGACTGGCATTTCATTTCAAACGTTGCGGAACACAGAGGATCTTCGTGTATTTAGCTTAACAATACAAAAAGATATTTTGCAACTATAAATATTCACTCTTACAACATGGTGGTAAGACTTTTCTTTGCAGAACAATCTTTGCCCTGTTACCTGCCAGATTCTTCTCTCGTGCTCAGTATGAGACAGTTAAGTAAAAGAGAAAAACACTAAAAGCAACTGATTGGCAAACTTCTCACCCTAACTCAAACTTAGCACACAAAATTACTGTCTACCCAGTAGGGTTTTATGTCCTTTAACTGAAAAGGGCACTAAAAATAATTACTGTGGACTTGAGCTTTTCTCTTTCGGGGGAGGGTGGGGAATCACCTCTCTTACAAAGATAAAAGGCACAGAATTAAAGTCTTTCATCCTTTTTTGTATTGGTGCGGTTATGAAATATTATGGCTTATACTTTAGCAAGAAAGTACTGGGAAGGTTATTATTAATCGACAATGAATGCCGTTGATACCTCCATGCTCTTTGAAGACATGATGCTCCGGCTTTGAAGCGCTGCATTTCTACACTGCTAACCTACAGGAACCTATGTTGAGGTGGTCCCACGGAAATGCACGACTAACAGTTCATCTCTTTCCTCCAGGAACCTTCAGGTTTTACCAAGCATCCTTACCCTAATTATCTAAATCTCTGAGACATAAATTATTTGATGTGGCTAAAAATCCTCCTGCTAGAATTTGAGTCCAATCCTTGTACGTTCTGATACTCGAATTCTTTAACGAAACTGATTACTGAGCTAGGCTGACACATGTCCGCCCGCCAAAATGTCCGCAGAAACGTTAAGAGAAGCTGTCATAAGGCCAGCTTGAGACACATCATAAATGGCCTTCGCTGTCCTTTGAGCTAATTATCTAACACCCGAAGAGAGTGCCGGTTCTAGTTAGAATCCGCGCGTCAGGTTCTCCAACCGTCAGAAGGGCGTGTGTGAGGGCAGGGAGGATTTTAAACCCCGTTTCAGGCCCCCTCCCTAGGCTGTAGGAAACCACCCACTCTGAAGCCCGGCGGGGGAGGAGTGCTGCAGCCAGCTGCCGAGGGAGCGCTCTGCGGCGAGGCCGTTTCCCTGAGTCACGGAGAGGGCGGGAGGCTGCCCCCGTCTGCCCCCGCCACGTCCTCCTGTAAGGGGCTCAGTCCAAACAGGCAGGGGTCGCAGGGGAAGGAAGCGGCACCCGTCATGCCTCAAGGTGGCCCAACAGCCACTTCACTCCCAGGAGACGCCGCATTTCCTTAAAACGCGCTCTCCATTCTGGCAGCAATCAGCCGACCCTTCCCCATCAGTATCACGTGCACCTGGAAGTACGTGGGTGGGACCTAAAGCGCCCACGGAAGTGACGTCGGTCGCTCCGAGTCGCATGATGTGGCAAAATGCAAAAAAAAAAAAAAAAAAGTGGGGGTAGAAAAAGAAGATTGGCGAAAGTGATGAGTCTAAAAAAGTAGTCCCTCCGGTTCCTCTGTTGCCCCCCGTGTGGCGTCAGAAGAGAGGCTCCGGGCGCACAGCGCCCGGAATTCCTGCACCCGCCGCACGCACCGCTCCGTGGAGGGGTACATAAGGCGGAGGGGGTGAGGCGACTGGGCGGAGTTCTGTCGCCGGGATCCTTCCGCTGGGCTCAGCCGTTTCCGGAGTCTGCGCTGCGCCCGGTTCCGCCATTGCGGCTCTCCTGGCCCGTGGAGCCTCCGCCCCCGACCCGAGCTCTTTCGTCTGCGTGCCAGTTTCCTGCGTCCCCGGAGAGGATCCTGCTGAGCCCAGCCTCCCCCCTCCCCTTCTCCTCCTCTCCCTCGGAGAGCCCGGGCAGCCACTGCCCCGCAGCCCCAGTGACAGGAGGAGACCATTCCCCCCGACAGCGCCATGGCCCAGATTCTGCCAATTCGTTTTCAGGAGCATCTCCAGGTGCGGCCGGGCCCGGGCTGGTGAGGGCTGTGGAGAAGGTGGTAGGAATAGTGGAAGAAGCTGGAGTCTGGGCCCCGAGCAGGATCGGAGCTGGAGGGGTGGGGGGGTTGTCGGTCTTTGGGGTAGATGGAGGAGGGGGCACTATCTTAGAAAGCGTAAACTGTTAAATGATGTGGGGCTTGGATGAAAGGACAGGAGTTGGGGTGCAAAGGGCTGCAAAGACCAGGCCTGGATCCAAAGGCCTCTCGATCTTGCTTCCTGGATGGCCAGAACTGCGCGTACAAACTCTCTCCTCCCCATTTTGTTCAGTTCATTCATTTGGGTAGGGGAGTGGGAGGGGGGATTCTCTCTTGTTTCTACCAGAGCAAGGATTCTTATCCCCTGGGCCAGTGCGGGGCTGTCACCTTCCATTGCTCTCCTCTTTCCCTCTTCGTGTCTGCACCCAGGAGTTGTGGGGCGGGTGGGTTGGGGAGGAGCAACCTTTTTTTTTCCTCCCTCTGCGGCTCTCAACTGAGAAAGGCACCTTCTCCGGTGGTGGGGGTTGGGGGTGGTGGTGAGGCGGTGGCTTGTCTCTTGCCTTCCTTGAGGCAGTAGGGACAGAAGGTCACTGAAAGAACGAAACGAGGGTAGAATGGGAGAACGCATTTCTCAGAACGATGTCAATCTCAGAGTGTGTGGGGTCGAGCTCCCTAAGGAAACTCGCCTCCCCTTCCCACTTTTTTTATTTCTTTGGGGATGTTGTGGCTCTTAACCCCTCTTTGGTTCTAGAAGGTAGGAAGAGTGATACAGAGGTTATCTTCTAGTCTTCTCGAGTAGTAGCAGGTAGTTTTGAATATCTTCCTCAGGATCGCATGGAATTGAACAGAGCCCTGGGGACAGAGCACAGCTGCTCTGAGACCTGCGGGGCTATTTGGTCTGTAACTGGCTTCCCTTTAGTAAGTTCTAGAGTTCTTTCCCATGGTTCCTTATCCTGGAGGCAACATATTGTTGTCTCATCTGGCAGCATGCCAATCGCTGGCCTAGGCAGGTGACCATTGGAAGGCTTCACTGAATTAAACCTCTTCAGAGCTTTTGATTTTCCTGTGTCACCAATCCTGATTTTTACTGTAGCTGAAACAATTTATTCCTATTAATTTGCTTTCTTCCCAAATATCCCCTTAAAGAAACCTGCCTCAGCTCTATCGTCTGAAGGGCTAATTCCATAATGACAGAGAATGCAGTGGTTTGACATGACACTAATATCAGTGACTTATTAGACACTTTACCATTGAAGACCATTTTTATTTACATTCCCCCATTGGTATAACATACATAAAAGAGTTTTGTTAATAAAAGGTTTTAATATTCAGGCTATAAGTAACATAATTTCATATTTCTTTGCAGGTATTACCATGTTTGCACTAGCAAGGACTTATTTTCCTTTAAGGCTTGAAATGTAAAGAATAATAAATCTTTACCCATAAAATGAGTCAAATAATGCACTTTCTTCAGTCATCTATAATTTTCAAATAACTCATCTGAAGTAATGGAATATACCTTGGCATATCTTGGCATATATATATAAATATATTTATGCCAATAATAAAAACACTTTTACAGAAGGTTAAAAACGTTAAATAACAAAGTGGATTTTTTTTTAATCAATCCAAGTTTAATTGCTTTAGTTATTTTTGTTAAAGTGGGGTGGCAAATGAATGTGGAGAGTTGAGAAAGTGCTGTTCTTAAGTGTGAGGGGAAAACGCGGGCTTGTTTTCATACTAAGCTGCATCTGAAATATCTTTCTGCAGACAAATGTTTATAAACCACACAAAGAATCAAGTACAGCTGCTGTTTATTTTCCATGGCAGATGTATAGCTCACTACTAAATCTTGTGGTGGTTCGAGTAATAGCTTTTCATTTCTTTTAAAGAGGAGACAAGAATTGTTAAATGATGCCAGAGATTGGAACCCAACCTTGTCACTTATTGAAGACAAATTTAATACATGTCTGTTTTGTAACTGGCTCAGTTTCAGCAGATACTTGAATGAAGCCATTTTCTTCTCAAATAATTTGAAGATTTTGAATATAAAGCAGATTTGCAAATTGAAAATTCAGCCCTCTGTGTTTTGGATTGCTATGTCATGCCTAAAGTTAAGCTTGCTTAGCTAATATGACTGTGTGCTCCAGCTGATTAATTGCAGAGCGCAAATAACTACAGCCTCTTCCATGATAATATATCTCCTGACTTCATTATCTCCTACCTTTTGAAAAATTAATAAGGTTTTTGTTTTTTGAAGAGACAGGGTTTTTGCTGGAGGTCAGTGGCACTGTCACAGGTCACTGCAGCCTTGACCTACTGGGCTCAAGCCATCCTCCCACCTCAGCATCCTGAGTAGTTGGGACTACGGCCATGAGCCACCACACCTGGCTAATTTTTGTATTTTTTGTAGAGATGGGGCTTCACTATGTTGCCCAGGCTAGTCTCGAATTCCTGGGCTCAAGCAATCCTTTGCCTTGGCCTCCCAAAGTGCTGGGATAATAGGTGTGAACCACTGAGGTGTGAATTAGGTGTGAATCCAACTAATAAGGATTATTTTAATTGGCGTCTTAGGTCTCTGACCTCTGAGCTTCTACCAGTTTGCTAAGTAGCAGAAAATTTTCTGAAACACGTAGGATTAAAAACTGGAAACAAGAAATGAGGAACTTAAGTATGAGTATAGTTAGCTTGTAAAACTGTAAATGAACTTATTTTTATACCCTTTAACTGCATTATCCAACTGAAGGATCTGTTGTCATCAAGGCATGCACCTACAGCAAATGAATGTCAATAAATGAAGATTTTTTTCCTAGACTGTTTAGACTGATAGCGGTTAATAAATGAGTGCCTATTTGAGCAAGATATTGTTGGAATTGCAGATTCTATAAAAATCCTAGGCTACATATATAAAATATTGCCTGTGATTCTCAATTTTTTGGCACATTAAGTATCTTTAGACCACTTGACACATACCAGTGTATTCCTAGATTCTTTGGGTCTTCAATTAAAAATCTCCCTACCCTGTTCTTTCCCCATTGATGCATAAATGCAGGCATGGAATGTGTTGTTGAGTCAAATGTTAGGGATTCTTGCTATAGTTAGTTTGGGTTGCAAATAGAAATCAATGCTAAGTACTGGGATTTACTACATGCTTAGTTGTACTCGCTGGAAGAGGTAAACTTCCTGAAATTATGCTGCAGTCTCATGGGAATAGCTTCTAAGTCTAAAATGTATCATATTCTTCAGAATTTTCTTGATGGTCAGTTTACTCAGTGTGTGGTTAATTTTAGTGAAAGTGCTTTCACTCTGATTAGGAAATAAGACACAGAATGGTGTGTGTGTAGAACACAGTCCTTTTCATTTGAGTATTTAGGAAAATTCACATTTCTGGAACCTTGGTAGTTGCTCTTGGACAATTGTTTCTTAGCGTAATTGGAATTTGTACCTTGCTTGTAAAAGGTTCCATTTATATCGAGTCCTCAGCTTCTTTGCAGAATTGTTTTTTCCATACATTTGTTTAACTCTGTATGTTATTCAAATTATATTTAACAAGATGTTTTTCCTGTCATTGTTAACTGTTGTGGCTTTTTCTCTTTGAGTTATTGTCCAGTAGAACTTTCTTCAATGATGGAACTGTCTGCTAGCTACATAGGGATATTGAGCACTTGAAATGTGGCTGATGACTGAGGAACTAAATTTTTGCTTCAATTTCTTTTTAATTAATTTAAATATAAATAGCCACAAGCGACAGCTGACTCTCATTGGACTGCACAATTATAGGCCATGCTGATGTGTTTTGTAAGTTTGAAGATTTATTTCACCACTTATGTTTATGTATTTAGAATATTTCTTTAGCTAAAATTAAAATGCTCGTTCAAAAGTTTTAACTGAATACTGTCTTGGAAAGTGGTGGTGATGAACGATGACTAGCAGCAGACTTCTTGAGACCTTATTATGTGCTGTAAATTTGGCTAGGTACTTTCAGATCTTCACTCAGTCCCCCTAGACACCTTTCTAAAAGGTGAGACTCAAAGTAGTGGGAATGCTGTCCGAATGGGATGTGTACCTGAGTCTTCTGACACAAAATATTTGGCCTTAGAAAGAGAAGTTATACAGTATCCTAGAGTGCTTTTTTTCTGTTGGACTTAGGCCCAGAGAGGTGAGTTCTCTCTACTTGTTTATAGATTAACAATGTGGTATAGTAGACAGAACAGGGCTTTAGGGGTTGTTGAAACTAATGCTGTCCAACAGAAAAATAATGTGAGCTACGTACTTTTTTTTTTTTTTTTGAGACAGAGTCTCACTCTGTCACCTAGACTGGAGTGCAGTGGTACAATCTCGGCTCACTGCAACCTCCACCTGCCAGGTTCAAGTGATTCTTCTCCTGCCTCAGCCTCCTGAGTAACTGGGATTATAAGTGCCTGCCACCACGCCTGGCTAATTTTTGTATTTTTAGTAGAGGTGGGGTTTTACCATGTTGGCCAGACTGGTCGTCAACTCCTGACCTCAAATGATCTGCCCACCTCGGCCTCCCAAAGTGCCGGGATTACAGGCATGAGCTGCTGCTCCTGACTTCACATAAGTAATTTTAAGTATTCTAGCAGCCATGTTAAAAGTGAAAAAACAGATGAAATTAATTAATTTTGGGTTTTTTTTGGTAGAGACAGTCTCGCTGTATTGCTCAGGCTGGTCTCAAATTCTTGGGCTGAAGTGATCCCCTCGCCTTGGCCTCCCAAAGTGCTGGGATTACAGGCATGAGTCACCATGCCCTGCCTAGATAAAATTAAATTTAATATATTTTATTTAACTTGGGCTATGCAAAATATTATTTCAATATGTAATCAGTATAAATTTTACTAATGAGATACCTTACATTCTTTTTCATACTAAATTTTCTAAATCTAGTGTGTGTTTTTTTTTTCTTTTTTTGAGACAAAGTCTCGCTCTGTCGCCAGGCTGGAGTGCAGTGGCAGATCTTGGCTT